GCCACATTAACTACAAACGTAAACTATTTTTGGGGGGACAATCAGCTCTCTATCTGTCTCTCTTCCTCCTCTCACTCTCTCCCCCTCTTGCTCTCGTAAATGCTCCGTCTCGCTTCCTCCTTGAATGTGTGAAATGCAATAAAAGCGAATTGTCTGTAAAATTTTTATTGCTGGCCACAGTTGGCGGTTGACTTTCGCAACGAAAAAGGGAGGAGGTGCGAGAGAGCGAGGGAGACGGAAAGAGGCGATGCGAAAGAGAGGTAAGAACCGGAAGTAACTTTGGCAGCTGCTGTTCTCATTGCGGTTTCATTTGAAATCAAACAAACTCTATTGAAATGTTTTCTAAATAATTAATCACTTTCGGGAGAGATTTACTCACTGGGGATTTTTCCGGTTTCTATTTAAGGTTTTTTTTCTGTTTTCTTTTTTTGTTTTAAATAAAAGTGCCTTCCTCCCAACTCGTTTCTTTGAGCCACATTGGTTGGGCCAATAGAGCGTGACTTTCCGCGCCTTGGAAAATGTTTGACTGAAGATGGAGGTGTGGGAAAAGTGGTGTTTTGAGGCATAAATATGCATGCCGGCGCGCCTGTCATTATGCAGCAAACTATTCGTACATGCGGCAACTTTTGCCTTTCTGCAAAGTTGCCTCAATTACAGCGCCCGAAAAAGGGGGCACTGAACGCGGCCGAGGGGCGTGGCTGGGACACTCGGCTGGTCCGCTGCCTTAAGTATGCACAGTAGCTACTTGCTAAGTGCACCAAAACAAATGTATAAAACCGGGTGAGACTAGCATGCTAATAAGAACTAGTAAATAAGTCTTGAAATCTTAAGTTTAGATAAAGATCTATATAATTTAAGCTCAAAATCTAAGTGTTTTCATTTTTTTTATTTACTGAAATACAGAAATACTGTAAATAAATATACAATATATTTAATAGTGCTGATTTGTGTTTACTTAAATCACCAACAGAACTAATTGATTTAATTTAATGTCGTTTATTTACCAGATTAAAATCAAAGGTTATTTTGAGCTAACTCATATTTCTTGCAGTGCATTTCGAGATGCCTATGTGTGTGTTGAGTAGTAAGTAACCTACTTTAAGTTCTTTTGGCTGCCATCATCACAGTCGCGATTTGTATGCAGCAAATTGCCAACGTCCAAGCATTGAGTTTGAGTTGGGCTTAGGGCTTAGGATTTTGGGTTTTTTCGACGGGCCATACAACGGACTGGGCCTTCAATTTGCAGTCGGTATACAAAAATTAAACAACAAAATGTTGCCACACAATTCGCGTGCCAAGCGATGCTCTCATTTCTCATTTCTCTCCACCCATTAAATATATACTATAAACTGGGCACTATGTACGCTATATGTTTCGGTAAAACTGTATGTACTAAACTGCAGCATTTGCATGTCAAACAAGAGCCGAAAAGCAAATTGTACAATGAGGAACGAGCTAAGTTTGCAGCCCAAGGAATGAGGATCGGGAAGACAGGAGGTTTTAATGCCCCAAAGTTTTTGCTGCTTGATGGTGAAATACTTAAGAGTTGGCAAACGATTCAAAAATGTGAAACTTTCTTAAAGAAATTCTTATAAAGATACATAAAAAAAAACTATTGTTTGTTTGTTGATATATATATTTTTTAATTTTTATTTGTTTTTAGTTTGTTTTTATTAAAATTGTTGTAAAAGTTGGCAATCGATTCCAAAATGTGACAATTTCTTAAAGAAATTTTTATAAAATTCCATAATTGGACATTTTTATTTATTTTTTCATTTTAATACATTTTGTTTTTTTCTATTAATATTGTAATTTAATTTCAAAAATTAATTTCAAGGATGATGAATTTTAATATAACGTTTTTGAAATAAAAAACGACAAAGCAATTTAAAAAACAAGTTTGTAAACAAAAAATCCCTACAGTTTTTAAAAATGTTTAACACATCCTATAATGGGAACGAAAAAATAATATGTATATTAACAAAACTTCTAAGAACAAAAGTAGTGACCAAGATCAACCCACATCCTTTGTACCAGAGACTTTTGTTGCTATCAAAATATTTATGACAGACAAGGAGCCTTTCTTTTGGGTGTTATCTTATGCCAAGGATTTATGATGCGAGAGGGCTGTGTTGCACCTTAGCCATTCAAAGTCCTTTCAGAGTTATCCTCGAAGGAAACTTGCACCTTAAGTGCACATAGTGATCCCATTTTCCAGGCCCTAAAAAGATAGTCACTTGACTTATGCTCGTGTGCCGTGTCTTAGTTACCTTTAAGTAGGCTATAAATACACCCCGTTTCTGGGTGGCTAATGTATGTCAGTCGTGCGCATAATTACAGTTGCATTGCATGTACAAACACGTGCTTCACGAACGGGTAAACGCAAACACCCACCTACAGTTAAGGTCAAAATAATAGTGTTTTTTTTTTAACTTAAGGAATTGGCTATCGAAAATAGTTGGCAAGCAACTTTTGCATTTATATTTTATATTCGTGAAGCTTCTATTAAAAATTAAATGTGGCAAAAATAATAATAAATACTTTCAAAGAAATTTTTTTTTTTTTATATATATTAGTTGTTAAATTGTTTGTCTCTTTTATGTCAGATATTAAAAACGTTTTATTTTTAATACAAAATGCAAATGAATGAGGACTAATGTTTATTTTCTTAAATTGTTATAAAATAATTTATTAGAGTATACTGAAATATACGTTTTAAATTAAAGAATTAAATATAATTTTTTATATCCTTGCACAACTTAAAAAATATCAAATATTTTTGAAACCCGGTTTTCTTTATAACTTTAATGTTAAATTAAAAGAAAAGTTGTGCCTTGCTTTAAAGGTATTTTTAAGGCACTTTACCTTGCCGCAATACTATTATTTTGACCGCTGCTGTTTGTACCTATAACCAGGCCGAAAAGAAAGCCTTTCCAAAAGGAAAGTGCATACACATGCAAAGTCAACTTTAATTGCATGTCGAGTGCTGGCAAATTGAACGCTTAATCATTTGAGCCGCATGCATGGCCTGCGATTAGGTTTTAATGCGACTCGATTGCCATCTCGCCGACTGATGACTGACTAACTTGGCTAACTGCCGTGACTTTTTTTGCAGGTCCTTTATGGAACCACTGGGGCATAGCTGATAGCCCCCCTTCACATGCATTTCAATTAGACATTCGGTATGTTGATATAGTATTTCGGAAGGAGATCACAATCTCTAGTTTACCTATAGTATGTTGGCCAAAAGATTTATTTGGTATCATGTAATATAACTAAACATAGATTTGTATAAATAGTACTGCGTCATTTTCTCTAAAATAATATCCACACTTTTATAAAGTCGTCATAAAGTATTTAAGTTGGCGTCATTGTAGTTTTGTAAGCATATAATAAATTAATCATTCAAAAACATTTTTAATTAAAATAAAAATTTGGTTAACTCTCCACCTAAAACAATAAATTAATAAATTAAACATTTTTGTTTAAGAAGCTTATATTAATTAGGTACTACTCATTAATTTTTTAAAAATTAAAAAAATAGCCCCTGTTTTATACAGTCATCAAAGGAGTATCTAGGCCTAAATACAGGGCATTAAAAACTTTTCATTGACACTAATTGGTTATTCAGCGACAGTTTGCTTGGCCCAGGTGTAGATGCCCCACTTAAGTAATTTGCCCACTTAATTCTAATTCCAGAGCTCACTCTTCTCTCACCTTTTTTCTTAGAACCTAAACAAATATAGAATACTATGCATATAAGGAATAAAACGACAGGATTGGAGGCAAACGTTAACACACATCCAAAAGTCTGTTAAGCTAGGCCCAAAAGTTGACAGAAAACTTTGCTCAAGATTGAGTTTTTGAGATTTGACTGCAATTATGACAGAAATCACAGACAAAGTGATTACAATTTGAAGGGGATTTTATATATTGTAAATATATATTTAATTTAGGACATTTCGTCAAGGCTTTTGCCTACTGGAAAATAAGCAATTTGCTGGCATGCACAGATAAAAGTTATATTTCCTGCCATTTAGGTAATTAGAAAAGTTAAAAATTACTTTATGTCAAGTAAACAGTTTACATGACCAAATATAAAAGGATGTTATGCAGTATGTATGGTGTAATTCATTATTATTATTATATTTATATTTATATAATAAATGTGTGTTACTGGAAATTGCTATAATATAATTAGCTAGTGTATAGGAAAAACTTAATTTATTTTTCCTTACGCAATAATTTTGATAAGTACTTAATAGTTTTTGTTCTCTGTGTACTCATATCGAGTGAAAGGCTTTACTTTAAATGCTCTCAATGGCCGAAACAGTCGACCAGAAGCTTATTGGACTTGAGGGCCAGGGAAAATTGGACTGACCATTGAGTAAATGTAAATGTTAAATGCGGCAGGGCAGGGGCTGTGGGAACAAAATTGGCAGGGGGTCGCTTTAACATCATTGCAATGCCGGTCCCAGCCCACAGTCATAAATTTGTCTGCGCCATTTGCCTTCGGTGCCTGGAAATTAATTCATTATCGATTTTCGTTTCGATTCATTTGGTCTGGCTTGAATTTTTTTTTTTTTATTCTCTGTAAATGGTAAGAAAGGGTTGGGTATGGTCAACCGAAATAAAAATTGTTCTTTTAATGTATCTGAATTTTCGCCGAACGGTTTTATAACAAATAAATGTTAAATTTGATTTTTAGATCATTTCTATTGGCTAACAAAAACAATAATACAATTAAAAAAAAAAAAATTATTCAAAAGAAAAATAATTGTATTTATTCAAACTTCACAAAATAATAAAAAAAAGACAAAATAAGGTTGATCTTAAAATTTTTTTATTATTTTTTGATTGAGTCTTGATATGAATTTTTGATTTTAATATAATAAAAATTCATTTTTTTCTATGGTTACTTAAGTATCATTGCTAATAAATAACTGAAGAATAGAGGGTACTTCATGGCTGTAAATCTTTCGATTCGTTTTTTTGAACAGGCTTTGTTGGCTTAAATGCGGCCATTAAAAACAGGCTGGACGACCATGGTAATGATGACGTCGACGACGATGGCGATGGCGATGGCGATGACGACGGCAATGCCTTCGAGTAGCATTATGAATGGATCATTTACAAAGTCAACACAATTAAAATACACGCCCATCCAGCGACCGCAACTGAAACTGAAACTGATGGTTGGGAAAAGTGAAGAAGGGGTTTTTGCTCCACTGGCAAACGGAAAAACAGGAAATCGGCGGAAGATGCCAATTCCCATTGGCGAGCACAAAAAACGAAAATAAAAAAATGAAAAAAACCCTTTTCAACTCCGCTGACACGGCCAGACATCCGGAACCAAGTCCGTGTAACCAAACCAGTCAGTCAGGTAAATGAGCCCCCAGTTGGGTAGTTGGCATACTATACTATATACGCGCCGAAGGACAAATGAGAGTGCGAATGCGAATATGAACCGTGAAATATTAATAGGGCAAGCGGACATCGATTGATGTCCTTGCTTGTGGTTATTATCAAATTTCAAACGACAGCGGCGGTGCGTTTGCGGTGGAACTCTAATGCACAGTGAGTTCAAGGAGCATGGCCTCTTACAATGACATACTTTAATTTAAATTTTAACAGTTTTTAGCTTCAAACTGGTCCATTTAAATCAAAAAGGAATTTTTTAAATAAAATATTTTCCACATAATTAAACTATTTTAATCATGCAATTTAATATGCTCAGCATTTACTCTTAAGGTTGATTGTTCAATTGTCACATATTTATTTTAATTCACTTATTTAAATAAATTTTATTTAAAACTAAATAATTTTTTTTGATCGATGTATTTTAAACACTTGTATGACATTATTTTCCAAACTTTACGACTGTTATTCTTTATTACCATACAAACATTTATAATTAACATTATATATAATTATCATATTTTTATTTTAATGTTAAACTGTAGACGCAAAATGTTGGATATATTTTAAGCACCTGTAAAGTATGGAATATATAAATGTAAAAATAACTTTACTGACAACATTATTGTTATCTGAACATTTGTCATCCAGTGTACTAACGTCACCCTACCTCATTGCTGAGCAAGCTGCTAACCTTTTATTTAATTTGATGTGGCCGAAGTTCAAAGGTGAGTCTTGAGTGTGAATGGGTGTGTGTTATAGTGTGTTATGTATGCAAATGTGTGTGGGCGCTGGTCGGCAATCGGGGATAAGCATTTATGTAAATGGACTTTGTGCGTTCCTGAATCGGTCGCGCGGTCAGAGCTTCGCCCCCTGAACTTTTGAACCCTTCATCTCAAAATCGCAAACGCAATCCCAACCAGGATTCAGGTGAAACAATGCTTTGTCTGGGTTTATTTCACTAAATTGGTTTAAATTTGTTTTGCGGTCGAGCTTTGTCTTCAATAAAGCATGTGGTCGAAGCAATTCGTTGGCTCCATTATTATTGGTAATTATCGAACTGATCCTTAGACCTTTGACCTTCGTCATGGCACTCTACTCATATTTTCTGGCTGTCTGGAATTTAAGCTCTCATTCCCAGTTATTTAGATTAATTCGGTTAGACAGTAAACAAAAACAGAAGTGTAAGCGGTTTCATAAGTGTATTTACAAGTTAAACAAACAAACATCGTAATACGGTTTTAAGATCTAAAAATTCCGCATGATTCCAGTTAATTGCTATACAAAGTTTAAATGCAAAATGAATGCTTTGTTGTTTAATAAAAATAAAATATTAATACATAAACGTATATGTACTCAAGAATGATTTTTAAAATTTAAGAAAATTATTATTTACCCAAAATTTTAAAGAAAAGTTAAAGGCTTAAGGAAATTATTTAATCTCAAAACAGATCACGCAAAGTCATAAAAAATAAGTTTTGGGGCTGAGGAATAAAGGGTTGACTGGTATTTTATGAACTCGTTGGCATTCCCCATTCCCATTTTTGGCCAGCAACAATGAGCAACAATTTTCGGAGGGCAACTCCTTGGCCCGAAGGCAGCAAATTGAGTTGCGCATTGAACTTCAAGGTTAATTTATTTTATGGCTGCACCCTGCCAGCCACCCACTTTTTTGTTTTTTGTTTATTGTCATTTGATTTTTGAGCCCTCCGTTGCGCTTGAAAGTTTTTTAGCCCCATTCCTTCGTGCTGTTTGTTTAGCTTGCTCTTCACCAGTCATAAAACACAACCCAGCAAAGAAAAGAAAAGGCAGCAGCAGAGAAGTGGGAAAAAGACAAAGGGACTAAATGTTACCAGTTTATCACTTCATTGAGCGTCTTGTGGGTAGCGAAACGGTTGGGTAGATAAGTATATGAGTCAAGTGAGCTTGCGTTTGCTTCGGACCACTTTTGGCCTTAAATTTAGTTGGGGAACTCTTGGTTTAAAGCTGTTTTGTATTTAAATAAAAATGAACATGTCTTTAGTCGCTGTGTGAATAATACATGTCAACAATATTAAAAAAAAATTTAGAGATTAATTTAAATACATTTAAATGTGTTATACCTTTCAGTTAACCTTAAAATCAATTTTTGAAAATAGAATTATTTAAAAGACATTGAAGAAGCTTGATATTTCTAATTTTGCATCTCTGTCTGCGCCTCTGATTATTTAAAACTCTTACGTTTACCTTCTCTGCGCTTCTCATTAGTTGATACTCATACTTTTATCGATCTCTTCTCTGCGTTTCTCAATATTTTGACTTATGCTTTTAACAAGTTTGCTCAGTCACTTTGCCATGACTTTTGAGAGTGCAATTTCCTTTTGAAAGTCCTTCAAGAGGTGGTAAAAATTACACTTGAATCTTTGCGTCAGAGCGAACAATTTTCGTATGCTGTATTTTTATGGCCCACCATTTTGCCACCTGTGCCCCAAGTGTGTGTGTGTGTGTGTTTGCCAGCGGCAATTTCTCAAAAAAAAAAGAGTGCCAAAAAGCACTTGCCACGCCCCTTCGCTGAGCGGTGGGCGGGGCGGTCGTTGGGCTTAACAAGTATGAAAAGGCAGGACATAAAATTGAAACAAGCTGGTGCAACAATCGTCTGCGTCCAGACCACTGGCTCCCGAAATCCTGCCCCTTTTAGTACACTTTTCCCGGCTTTTCTTTCCTCCTCGCCAGCGGCTTTTCCTCTTGCAGTTTCATTTTCATAGGCAGGCCGTTGAATTTTTGAAGCGTGTACGCGATTTTTATGCGATTTTTATACAATTTTTCTTCATTTCTTTTTTTCTACCCGTTTATTTTCTTTTTTTTTTTATAGTAAGGTTCCGGTTCGGAAAAGAGGGGCTCGGCACTTGGTGATGCTGCATGCCGCACATGCAAAACCACAAATGATAGCAAAGTTGAGCCCGGTCCGTGTGGCTGATGATGTTGCTGTTGCTGCTGTGATGTTGCTGTTGCTTCTGCTGCTGCTGCTGCACCCCAATCACGACAGGGGAGCAACTGGATCTGGAAAGGGGAGAAGACCAGAAGAAGAGTGCGCTGGCATTCGCCGTAGCTGTCGCACTTTCAGTAATGTGACACTTTGGCCCATGGCATGTGGCAGCTGCAACAACAACAGTACACCAGCAGCAACAGAAAAAACAACCAGAATCGGAACCGGAACAACAACAATGCCACCTCTCTAGCCAACAAGCTAAATACACGCTTTAAGCATATGGAAAGACAGCGAATTTTCAGGGAAATGCATGTCTGAGCAAGCGGATCGATCGATAACTCAAATCGCAGGCAAGCGAAACTAGGGCACTGAGAGAAAAAGTGTTGAAAAATCTATTTTCCATCTATACACATCAATTTAGTAGATTTAATACTCTTTTTTATTAAAATATACTCTTACAATAAAAAACATCATTAATAAAATAACTAATGTTAGTACTAATTCACTTAGAAAATCAAGTCGTAATGTTTCTAATCAACAATTTTGATATCAAACATTAAATCATGAATGTTTCTAATCAACAATGATTAATTTGTATTCGATTTTTATTTAAATATACTTTGTTAAAAAAATAATTAGATTAAAAAAGATTGAAAAGTTAAATATAAATATTACTATTTATATTAAAATTCACATAATTGAATTGAAAAGCCATTATCGCCGTAGTGAGGCCGTACCAAATGCGGTCGGCAATTCCTTTAAGTGCTGGCAAATTCAAGACTTCTTCCATCTTCCACTGCACTTTAGTATCGGGGGTGAAAGCGAGCGAGAATGAAGTCCAAACAATTTATATTAATCATACGCAATGTGGTGCCAAATTGTTCCGGGCATAGCCAGCACTTAAGGAGTACCCCCATCTCCTGCTCTGAGTGTGGCATTATCTCGGTCGGTGCAGTGCTAAAGACGAGGACGAGGACGACGACGACGACGAAGAAGGCGACACTTTGAGCAGTTCAACGGACAAAGTCAACGCATGCAGCGGCAGGACGAAGGAGGCGGAGGTTTTCACAGGATGCCAGCGATAAAAGCGCCAGCTAAAGCGGATGGTGTATTATCACTAACGACCAGCATATAAAAATAAATCCCCACCCGAATGCAGAATGGAATCGGACACGAAGGGGGGGTGGCCAATTGGCCCATAATTTGTGAGGCATGCAAGCACTGCACAAAATAAGTCGGCTTTTAACTATTCTATTAGATACTGTTTACTTAACTACAGAAAGGTCTCCAAAAGTAAGTCCAATGAATCCAGTTTAACACACCTTTCATTTGAATTTTTTTTTTTTTTAATTCAAGGTTTTATTTAAGGCTCCTCGAATAATTGATGATGTGTTGGGTATAAAGAAAGAATTTTTTTTTTTCCGTTTTTTATGAATGTTAGAATGTTGAATGTGCAATCGTCACGACTTTGTTAATCCTTTTTTGTATGATTCTTCATATAGATAGCAGTCTTTTACACAGGGCTCTTAAAGTTTTTACTCTTTTACTTCTACAAAAATATTTTATATTTTGATTTCCCAAATGCCTTAAGCTTACGACAGTTTCGGCACATGCAATTAATTATTTTCGAAGCCACAGCTGGCATATGGCCTCAAATGCATTGCAGGCTAATTAGGCTGAGTGAGTAAGGACAATTGTCGGTTGACAATTGCATCGGGCTTTGACTGTATTATTATTAATTGGCGGACAGACAGACAGGGAGCACTTTGCACTCAATTGCCTGAGTGGAGTATGGTACTTCTCGGCACTACATGCCTTTATGCCATGAATAGATAATACATACACTAAACACACAAAGGATTCTCAAGCATAATGAAGTCGTTCGGTGTGCGGCCATTGTGGCATAAAGTTTCAGGTTTCGTGCATCTTATGGCCAATTAGCAGGCCACAAAAAAAACAAACACCATGAACGGATTCAGCATCACGAAACATGGCTAATTCACCAAAAATTGGTACTAATATTAATGAGCATTTAAATTTAAATATGGTTGCCCACAGAAACACGCACAAGCTCTAATACACAAACAAAAAGGAAAAACTAATTCATTTATTTGGTATTTTCCCTGTGCTGAAAGCAAACAAATTGTGAATCAACAATTTATGGCAAATGGAATTGGAATTTAAAATTAGTTTAGTTAACTAAAAGCGTTGAACTATTAACGCTAAGCTATCGATAAAACCAGAAGATAATTTACGCCATAAAATGGCAGTGTTTTTAACAGAAAGGAGTTAAAGTTGGACAGCAAGAAATAAAAGTTTAAGTATATGCTGTTAAAACTTCTGTAGAAAACAGACCAAAATTTAAAATGATCTAGTAAGGAGCAGAGATAAAACTGCCGAACCGTTAAATGGGTTCTAAAAATAATCATGGGAGAAACATTAAGATGTTTTTCAAAGCTTACAGTAAAAAAAAAACCGAAAAAGAGCAATGGAAAAAGTACTTTCTTTAAGAGAAATAAAATTTGGTTTTAAAATAAATTATTCGCTGTTCAAAAGAACGTAAAAAATATTTTTATTAAATATTTTGTAATTCATTTTTCGCGTTGGTTTTCATCAATTGCTGCTTAAAGCTATTTTCGGAATTGATTTTTAATATCTGAAAATGTAATTTAAATTTAAGTCATAATAAAATAAAATCCACTTAAATCAATTATTTATTTTTAATCTAGTTGTATCCACATCAAAATAAATTAAATTTAATATTATGATTTAATATTTATTTTTAAAATTATAAATACAATTTTTAATTCAATAGTAATAGTTTCTATTAAATGCAAATCTTTATTCAAAATTTCCTTAGCTTCAGTAACATAAAACGTTTTACCTATTGTCCTAATGCTATACTTAATTAACTTAAAGCTGATTAACTAACAAATGCCGATGGTCAAAGGTGATTCCCAGCAATCAAAGACACTGGGGTGTTTTAAGCCAATTGCTTTCTCCAGTTTAATGTGATTAGACCTCTAATTGGTCCAATCAAAGTGTCTTCAGAGTTAATTAAATGCTCTCCTCCGAGAGCCTTTCAAAGCAAATCCCAATAATCGTTGAAATAATTACCTATTGCCAAAAACAAACACACACGCACTCGAAAACAAAAGATTGACTGACAAAAGTTTTGCGTTGAGCCCAAAAAGGCGTTGATTATTTAAGTACTTAAACGTGTTTTCGTTAATGAGCTACGAAATAATTCATAAAATACGATGAGCTTCTCCTAATTTCTGCACAACGCCCCACAGGCACTTGAAAACCATTCCTGTGCGGCGCAAAATGCACAAGTATTTACTGAGTCTGTCTGTCTTTCTTTGTGAGGCTTCATCTCGCTGTCTGCAAATCACACAATGAAAAATGCTTTTATTTACTTTTGATTATCTGTTTATGGACAGCAGAAAAACAACAACAACAATGGCAGGGGGAAAAACGTTGGAAAAACGCTTGGAAAAACAGCAGACAACAAAAAAACCATCTATACTTTATAAGCTAAATGCAGTAGTTGCCATAAATTCAGTGGTAGTGTACTGTGCCAAAAATAAAAGTTACAACTTAGGGAAAACTTTCAAAAAAATAGAATTTGTTTCAGACTAATAAATATAAATGTTGGCAACATGTTAGTACAAATCATTTTTGGATTTTCTCTAGAATTTTAAACGCAGCACTAAAGTTTGTGGCGCCAACTCGCAAACAAAACTAAGATTGCTACGAAGTTCAACAGAATTTTAAATAATCCCTAACTATTGATAGTTTTTTAAATAGTTTTTAAAATATAATATAAATAGTAATAGTAAGCCATGGATTAAAATCAAAGCGAAAAATATTAAAATGAAATACAAAATATTCGGATTTACTACTTTATTTTACCAGTAAAGTGATAATTTCACAAAATATATAATATTAAATGCCTTACAATGCTACTTCACTTTTGTTAAAGTAGCAAACTTCAAAATTGTTATCCTTGAAGCATTAATGGTATAGGAAAGTGGAGAGCAAGGCGACCGAATGCCACCAGCAAGGTGACAACAAACAAACAGCCAAACAAACAAACAGGCAAACAGACGGCTTATGGCCAGGTTTAAATATGGACCATATGGCCGGTGATGCTGGCCAACAAACGAGGGTGGTTTCCACAGTTCAATGGCAGCCAACAGCGGTTTCTGCGAACTTTGTAAGCGAACCGCTTTATGGGTTTCCCCTTTTATTTTTTATTTTTTTTGGCTGTCAACGCTGCCTGTCGCGGTTGTAAAATCAGCGAAATTTTAGCGTTCAGCCAAAAATAAATGAAAAAGTATCTAGATGAAATTTACAGGGGTCGAAAGTGAAGATACTGAGTATTTGTATGGAATACTTTTAAAATGAAATGCTGTGATTTTGGGCTATGATATATTTCAACGAATTTAAAAAGGTTTTTGTGTTGAGAAAAGTAAAGTAAAGTAAAAAATTAAAAACATGGCATATTAATTGCTATAAAATAATTAAATTTAACTGAATTTTTAACATTCATTCAAAATTTATAATATAGTTATTACTAAACTTTTAACTTAATTTATATTAAAAACTTCATTAAAAATCTGTTATATAAATATTCTGTAATTTGCATATTACAAATTATAACATAGGTTTAACTAAATGTTTTTCATTTATCCTGTAATCTGCATTTTAAAAATCAATAACTTTAAAATTAAAGTTTTTATTTTGTACTTTTTTACATATACAATTAGATTATTTTTAATTATACTTTTATGCTTTTAAATCTCTTAAGACAAGTTTGTGATAATGTAGGTACTAGAACTTCGTAACAAGAAGTTGATTGAAAAATCTTATGATAGTTCAATCTTTTGACATTTTATAATATTTTGTTTCATAGTATGTTACATTAGATGCACTTATAAGTTTGTTGTTTATTTATACAGAAAGGAAACTTAAAACTTAAAAAACTGGCTTTTGTGATATTAATTTAAAAATAAACTTATTGAGAAATTATTTATATCCAAAAGTTTTAAATTGTTTTTGCTCTTTCGAAACTACCTTTTGAACTTGGACCTCGCGGGGTACTTCAAACAAAGCCGCACCTGCAACGCACACATATGTATGCATAAACCACACACACAAACACCTGCCACGTGGCACACACACACACCCACACACTCCTATCGGGCTATAATTTATGGCTAAACGGATGCAGCAAAGTAGCAAAAGCAAAAACAAAAGCAATAGCAAAGTGTTACCTTAGGCCGCCGGCTATTTAAAGTGTAAACGCATGGCTTCGAGTGGTTTCGATCTCATCTGATGAAGTGGCTTGTAGGAATGGGTATGTCGATGGTGCAACAAGTCAGGGGAATCCCTTTGCCACATAAAAACGAGACACACTTGCAATAATTGTATTACTATCGTGTGTGTTTTTCGAGCAAGTGTTTGCCGAATCTAATTGCTTTCGAATGAGGATGGCTAAGCATATTGATATGCAAAACTGTGGCCGACTCACATGGCGTATGCGTAATTCAATTGTTTGCTGCCAGTCGGATCCCACATACGCAGGGTGTGTGTGGCACACAAACTCATTTTGTGATTTCCACAAAATTACATTTTGCAGTGGTATGAATAAATTGTACGTTCCGAAATGTTTGTCAGTGCGGTCCCAAAAACCCATCCTAAAAGTTGTTTGTCCCACTCTTAACTACATTTAAATGGCAATTTCGGACGACATATCATTGCAGTTATCTCAGCCATTCAAATTCCATATATGTATGTATATGGTACATATAAATGTACCAATTGTAATATATATGCCTTAATTCGCAATTGACAGCTCGATGGTGGCAAATGTAATATGAAATTCTCTAAATTGCTTCTGTTAGCACAGACGCTTTAGCATTTGTTTGGCTGCCAAATTTTCGACATGGAATTTATTTGCAAATCCCTGATTAAAATCGGTAGCTCACAGTCGAATTCATTGCTTATAGAGTTCTCAGTAACAAGAAACAGTTCTGAAATACTGCACTTGTATTGAAATGATTAAGTATTTATGTGTGCAGTGAGGGGACATTTCCTCTTGTGTGCCAAGCTGAAATTTCCATATTGATTGGGTTGTTCTCTGACAACAATTATATATTCATGGATTGACAATATAATCAGCAAAAACTTAAACAGCAAAGACTAAAGACAAATTGTATCCTAAACATGTTTAAAAAAAAAATCGCAGAATAATATTCTTTATCTTTTATACAGCCTTTCAAAATAAGTTCTGAGTATTTTCTAAATCAGCATTCAAAGTCTGTCGTTTTTGCACGTTGGAAACTAACAAGAATTTTATGGCTATTATTTCAAACTTTTGAAATTTAATTTTTCCTGGAAGAGGTTTGAAATGCTTTTAAATTTAAAAAAAACAAGTGAGCATAAATTGCTTTTAAATTCAACAACTTAAATCTGTAAATTTGCGTGAAAAATTGTGTTTTCCTATATAATTAAATGTTTATTTTTTTGTATATTTTTTTTTAAAGAAAAAAGATTTGAAATGTTTTTAAATCTTTTAGCATATTTTTTTTGGTATTATAAGTTTAAGAATATCTTGAAATTTAAAAAAACTATAACCCAGATAAATTTGGAAGGGTTATGTATTTTTAAAGTATGTAAACTGGTTATATAATTAATTGTTTTATTTTTATTTTTTTTTTTGTAATTTTTTGTAAAATCGGGATAAAAAAAATTTGATGTGCTTTTAAATCTTTGGTGATCAGTTTATGATATTTTCTTATTTTACATTTTCCATGGTCAAGTTTTGCAATCAAATGAAATATATTTGCGGCCAAGAGCTTGGAATTGGTTTCAATTGTTTTGTGTGACCACTTACGGGAGCAAACTAAAATTCGTTTTCGGTTTGCACGTGAAATGGAAATGTGTCCCTGTGGCGGACTAATTTCCATTTTGTGAGGATGCGAAAGGGATTCGGGATGAAGTTTTGGAGAACCCGGCTTTCAACTCACCATTCACATAGGCGGCAAAGTCAAAGTCCTTGTCTGTTCGCGCCACGCCATCATCTTCGATGTCCGGCAGTTGATGTCGTTGTTGCTGCTGCTGCAGATCCTTAGCCCTTTTCGCTGATGCGGAAATGACGTCATTTCCGGCTGGCACAGCTGCAGCCAGCCCCAAAAGTACCACCACCAATGGCAGCAGCGACATTGTCTTGAAGCATTTCGGCCTATTGCGGTAACGGCGGCTCGGAGCCGCCATGCCGCCCACTAATTAGAAGAACGCGGAAGCGGAAATAAACACGCGAAATGCGGCTGATAACTGTCTAGTTTTGAAAGCAAAAAAATGTCAGTAGCTTTCAGTACGCACTCTAAACACTGGAGAAAAAAAAGCACACACTATTGTAAACCGGCAAACGTTGGGCGAACCAAAACCCGTTTTAGTTTCAGTTTCACTAACAGTAACAGTAACAGTTGAAGTTCGTAAATTCGCAAGCCGGCCACTGTTGCGATTCAGGGACGTTTGTTGCTTTAAAAAGGAGCCGCAAGGACCTGCTGCCTGGCCAACGTGCTAGGCGCAATTGAGCCACCAAGTGCGCTACCAGTACTCATATAGCTCATATAGTCAGCGTTTTTCGCCAACAACTCTTGCAACATGACCATGCCGCACACGAAAACACCAAAAGCCGAACTTCTGTTTTGGTGAATGGACTCGGCATTTGGCATTCGGCAATCGGTACACGAAGCACGACGCCTGCGCCCTTTCAAAATCACTAAATCTGTAAATAACAAAAAAAAAAAATGGAAAAAGTTGCAGGAGCCAGAAGTCAGTTGCAGTTCATTTGCTTGGCTACGTGACGCGGCTTTCCTACTTTTTTTTACACCCTTGCAGAGGGTATTATTACTTCAGTCATATGGTTTAACGGTTTACATTTAATGAAAATCGGACAACTATATCATATAGCTCCCATTAAAACAATCGGAACTTAAAAAAAAATAATAAAAAAAGGGAAGCTTATCTATTTGAAATACTTTTTTAAAATTATTTTAGACATAGTAATGGTTAAATAACTCAGAACTTTAATCTTTAACTTAAATAATTTCATATAGCTGCCATAGGAAATATCGTATAATTGAGCTGAATATTATCATAGCTTCAATGTTTTTAGACATATACTCGTGAAATTCGAAATTGAGATGTTTTAAAGAATATATAATTTTTGCAATAACTGCAAGTGTATATTAACTTCGGCATTCCTTTTTTTTTTTTTTTGTGAAAATAGGCAAGGGAACTCCAGCAAAACGGGATAATAGATAATGGATAATGGTAAATGGGCATGAGCAAATCGACATTGCAGGGCTCTGTTTTTGGTAAAACCCCTTTTATTGTCTCCACGACTTTTGCTGTTTTCACAGCCCAAGAAATTGCCGATCAATTGGCGTTGTCCAATAAAACTGCTTGATTATGTAGATGGCAGGGTGTAACTGAAATTTAGTTGTGGGAAAAGTTGTTGATTGTTGTATTTAGTGTTTTTTGGGATTTAAAAACACACGGCAAGTGTTTTGAATGTGATTCTTGTCGTTTATTTTGATCTAGAGTTTGCTAGAGGAAAAATACATATACTCAGAAAAGAATTCTAAAATGTGTTCAATATACATTTGAGGGCAAACAAATATTTGTTTATCAGCTTATAAAACTATCAATCAAAAATAGTTTGAAAGCAACTTTTAAAATTATTCCTTTTATATATTCGTGAAGCTAATACTATAATTTAAAATTATCCAGCACTAATCATAGGTGTAATATGTTTTATTTTATTGTTACAAATTTCTCTTTAAAATTTTCAATTGATTTTTATTTTAGATAATATATTGAGCGTTTTAAACCGTTGGGTAGTTTTTGTTAAAATCTATTTTTTTGCAATGCAACTGCAAAAACAGACTTTCAGTGTTGTTTGTCAGTTGTTGTTGCTAGTTGCTTGTTGCAGCAGCAACTGTTGCCACTGTGACCTTTGACCTGTGGTCCTACGGATCAGAAACAGTTAGTCGTTATTGCTACTGCAACTGCCGTTGCACCGATGTTGCCGCTGGGCTCAACTGTTGCTGTCGGTTCCTGTGCGTCGATTTGCGTCGCAATTGCAATTGCAGTTGCAATTTGGAATTCCCCTACACATTGGCCCTTTCTTTGGCTCTTAATTAAAACATTTTGCAGTTGATTTACGCGTCTGGGTGGTAATTTGATTAGAGCTCGCAGCAATCGAGCATCGCAACCAAGTCTGTACACCCAAAATACATGCATACATACAATTAAAAAAAAAATTTTTTTTGGTTAAGCCCCTTACAAAATTTGTAGCACAAAAGAATGACTCCTTACTTAAATTAAACCTTGGCCTTTAACTCGAAAATACTTGTGGTAACAAAGATTCGTATTGTTTCCTTTCTAAATTTATGTTCAGGCGCTAAAATAAGCAAGCTAATCTAATTAAAGTTGCCGACTTATTGCTGCAGGCTCTTCCTCAGCTCATTTTCATTGTTTTCACATTACATATACTTATTATTATTATTATTTTTGTTATGATCATTATTGTTGAAACGACAGCAGCAGCAATAAACTCATGCGTGCACAAAGCGGCGTATACTTGTTGCGATGCAGGGGCAACTCCGCGCTTGGCTATAATGCTCTAATGGCCATAATTGTTGATGCGCCACCCTGACCCGGCTAATTGTCGACCTCTGTTTTTCGTTCTCGGCCCGCAGCTCTGGCCAGTCAGTTAGTCAGTCAGTCAGTCAGTCAGTCAGTCAGTTGGCTTACAGTTTTTGGACCAGTCGATGGGTCAAAACCTGGCATTGCAGTCTGCATCCCACGAGGCACTAATTGAATTTGCTCCCACCATTGGGCAATTGCAGCCCAAAAACATAAAAAAAAAATTGAACAAAACCCCGCCAAGCACTGAAATAGGCGGAAACCTCGGAAACAAAAGGCGCGACTGGAAGCCAATCAACTGGAGATGAGCTAAATTCCCCAATACTCTTTCAAAAAGGGCTTTTGCTACAGCCAAAAAAACATGAACGTTTTTTTTTCAGTGGAGCAGCATCAACAGCATTTTGCTCTCGGTGGCAGGATGTGCATGTGCGAGCCGGAGTGATGATGAGGCAATTTGTTTAGGCCTGTTATGCATCATTTGGGCGAAAGGGTATGGGTATGGGTATGGCGATTGAGTTCGAAGGACGATGGCCAATGAGCTTAGGTAGGCAATTCGATTTGACGGCGCACAATTTCCGGCCGCACCACGGTTTGGGCTTTGTTACTCATTACAAGCGAATAAGCCCCGAGTCGTTGTGTTCAGAAGCGTGCCATTCGGTCCACTCAGCCTTATTCACACACGGAAAACTTTCACAATAAGCGGACGGATTCCGGCTGCGATCCTGCAGGATACATCCGCCGCCAGGATAATGGACAATGTGCGCCCAGTTTCCACCTCGCAGGCGGGGCAGTAATGAATTGTGCACCGACAGACTAATTGTTAATTGTTAATTTTTAATAACTATAACTACTTGGAGTTTTGGCATTCAATTTAGTTGCTTTTTAAATTATATAGTGGTCAGCATATATATTCTTGTACTTTACGGTACAGTATATTTATATAATAATAAAATTTTATTTAATATGCGTTTTAAAATAGGTTTGATTTTTTTTTTATTTTTGTTAAGTGTACGAAAACGGTTTCTACATTTTTACACATTTAATTAAGACTCAAAACTAAATTAAGTTACAAAAATCAAATACTTAAATTATAAGTACAATTTATTCATTTCCCGGCCAATTAGGAAGCTCGCAACGATGTCAACTAGTCACCAACGAAAAGGTGCTAACTTGGCCAAAAAGACCAGGGAGTGGTCATCCTCGTTGGAGAATATTACCAGCTTCCGCTTCATTTCCTGTTCATAACTTTTTCAATATGTCCTGTTGACCATCCTCACTAAGAGAAAAAGCCGAAATCTTAAATTACTTTTTCTAAGACTTCTAATTAAACGTTTAAAGACCATTGTTTTCAGAAAAGTTACCTTTAAATTTAATAAATAAATACATACTTAAACACATTTTTCCTTGACTTTTGTTTTTTTTTTATGAATTTTATGTTAGACTTCAATTTTAAAATTTGAAAAACAGCATTTTTTTAACTAATATAAATAAATTATATATATATATTTTATAAATTTTCACAGACAAAGTATGAAGTTAACTTTAATATCTTCAGTGTTGGCTCTTTTTTCCTTGACTTTTCTCCACAATGTTTGTTTTGCAGATCCCTTAGTTTGTCCTGTTTTTTGTTTGCCTTCAAGTTTTTCAATTTTTTCTGACGGCAGAGTGAAGGGGAAAGGGATATGAAATTCCGTTTGCCACTTTGCATTTAATCAACTTTATCATATGCATGTAAATCGTATGCAGGCGCAAATAAACTAAACAGGTAGCGGTGAATTTATAATAAAAAAAAAACATATTTGCATATGAATAACGGATACGTGTGGATTAGGTAAAATTCTGCGTTAAAAATGTTTGAATAGTCTGGCAAAGTATAAAAAGTACTTAAATAAAAATATAACGAAATGTATTTGTCTTCTTTTTTGGCTTTATATATATTTATCAAACATTTCAAACTGCTTAAAAAAGCTTTTATTACTGTATTGTTTAACCTTTTGATTGTTTATTCAGTTCTTAAATATATATTTTTAAATTCAAGGTTTTTTTATTTCCTTTTTTATTTTCTCTCAATGTTCCTTGTTTTGTTGTTTTATATATAATTTGTATAATTTCAAATGCGTTTTGGCTTATTTTAAACTGGACTATTTAATTATTTGTGAGCATTTAAAATATATTGTAGTCCTGCTGCTTATCCCCTGAATGCTAATGTAAAAATACTATTTACTTGTGTATGTAAAATTTCCAAAATTTTAGTTGCTTCTACACCTTTGATATTTAATGTCGTAATTTGTTTACCAACTGACTTTTATTTTTTTTTTTAGCTATTGAATATTTAAATAGCAGGGTGTGTCAGCAGTCTTTGATTTGTTTGCTCCTGTTGTTGCGCCATCTGAAATTGAAATGGGGATCGGGTTTTTGGGATCAGGCACTGAAAGCTGTCGCTGCATAAATTTGCAGTCCATTTCAAGTTGGCTCATCGCTTTGATGTTTGATTTATTGCACGCTGTCGGGGGTTAAGGGGCCAAAAGGGGTTAAGGGGAGGGGGGTCTGAAAAAGGGATTGAAGTGGCTGGTAGTGGTAGGGGCTTGGAGGCCAAAGTGCCATGGAGTGGACTTATCGGCCGACATGCCAGACAATTGTGAATGGCAACTGCAACTGGAATTGACAGTGGCGTGGTGGTGGGCTTTTAAAGAGGGGATGGCGCGATAGGAGTTACCTGGTTCTGACTTGGATAAGCAAACAAACGGATGAGGCTGGCAAACAATCCTGTGATGGCCTCGCACTCCATTATGGATTCAGCCATTGCTGTCTATTTGCCTATTTATGCATTTTGAAGGTCAGTTGCGGGTGCAAAAATATAACATATATAAATAAAATGTGTTATCAGAG